TTTTTTTTTTTGCTTTCCCCATGGCTCAAAATCCATCAACATCAGTGCAACACTGAATGAAACCTGTTAGGAGCCTTAAAACTCTGACTTTTTATACACAACCGCTAATTACAAGCAAACAGACCAAAGGTGAGGATGGTTACCTTTAGTAGCCATTTACACTTTTGTGTGTAAACCTGTGTGTATGTTATCATGCCAAAACTTCCAGGGTATGTACATTTTTGATCAGGGTCATTTGGGTATTTTGTATTATAATGTAAAAAAAGGCAAACACAACTGTTCGATAATAAATGTCTTCACTCAACCATTAACCATGAGTGAAAGAAAAGTTTGTGCTATTCATATTCTCTGAAAAATGGCCAGCAAATCAAATTCTGCAAGGGTATGTAAACTTTTGAGCACAACTGTAGCTCAAGCACTGACCCAAACTGAGAACTATACAAACAGAGAACGGCATGTTAATACTTAAAATAATGAAACTGAGGGTAACTTACTGAATCCCACCATCTTATCAGGCACTTTGAAGTCGTCTGTTGCAAAAGCCCTGTTGAAAATGCACACACAAACGGCTCCAACAGTTAAGAGCTGCCAAACATTTCATATTCTGATCTATACATGAATAATTTTTTATATTAAAACGGTAAAAAACTTTTGAATTAAAATGTCAGATTAATTTTCTTTAATATTATGTATATGATTAAGTAAATTAAGGGTTGTAACCGTGTAAGACTAACAACAACAAAAGATGTAAGCAGTTCTATAGTACATATTACAATATGTACTAATAAAATGAGTACAAGAGTAATTAGTTGATTAACAGGGCCTAAAATATTTGTGGAGTAAATCTTACATTGTTCTAATCTGTGTGAATGCAAAATAAATATTAGCGGACCTTCAACCCCAAATTAGACACAGGTAAATTATAAATTAAAACACTAAATGCATTACTGTAAGAATTGTTTTCTGCTCACCTTTGATGTACCATTGCACCAAGATGGTTCCCTACTGAGAGAGGAAAAAAAAAAAAAAAATTAAAATGTGATAAGTATCCTAATATCTGCACCAAAAAAACCCAAACAAACATTTTAAATTACTGCTAAAAATGATAAAAGACAGTCAAAGCTGGAAGAAATGGGGGAGTAGATGGGCATGAAGCTGCCAATCCTGAATGTCTGTGTCTGACCCACAGCGGGGGGTTCTCACCAGCATGGAAATCAGACCTGCAAGTGCATGAATGAGCGTTTCAATCAGAGACGCTCAGAAAGGGAGGCAGCAGTCGGGTCAGTGACTGCTGCTCCTGAATTGAATTTTGACAGGTGGAATCAAGCGAGGGTCATGCAGGGTCACCGGAGGATGTGCAGCCATGGACGCCAAGACTTGAATTGATATCTTACAGGTTCAATCAATTTTATGGGTGTTTGCACCGAGTTCACTTCTTCTAGAAAAGAGCTGAGGTTAAAGACAGAGAGTGGAACAGCTATGAATACCAAAAAGGGAGGTGTACAGACTTCTGATCAAGTGTGAACGCCTTGAGAGTATTTTTGTTATAATTCCTGAGAACCAATTGCAATGCAAAAAAACTATTGCACAACAACCTTGACTGAGAAAAACTGGGGACAAATTCTTGTCAACAACAGCGCATCACAGAACCCTAAACTTGAATTGTATACAATTTTCTTATCAATGCATTCAAGGCTGAACTATCCTACAAACAACTGACAAGATAAGAGGAAGATGGGGTAAATGACTAGTGCTTCCTTCTTTGTGAATTTAAAATGGAACAAATCTTTGTTGCAAGTCCAAGGAACAAAGAAACTGGTTGATCCACTATGAGACGGTGCCATTTATGACTTGAGTTTGTTCCAGCGCCTCAGACTGAAGTCTGAGAGGAAATGTTTCAACAAAAACTAATCCATCCAGAGAACCTGACTTAACCTTGTTAGATAGTAACTTAACTGTGGCATTGGTATTTTAGCCAATCACTAATTTACAGGAAACTCGAGATGTGTTTTGCAATGCTGTGATCCCAGGAAAAGCTTCCTTACTCCTAGAGTTGCCACGAAAAGTAGATTTTCATTCCTCGACTGCCACGAGGCTTAGTTCACAGCCGAGGTTTGAACTACCATCTAAATACGCCCCCAGTAGTTAAGAGCCATGGCCAGCAGGTGCCTCAGCTAGTGATAAGGTAATGCCGATTCTGTTTTATGAAGGCCTGCTCAGAGCACAGCCGAAGCACGGAACTGGTTAAAGAATGTGTGTGAATAATTCTGGTTAATGCCTAAACAATTAGAGTGGACGAGAGGTACAGTGAGTGTGAAGGTGCAGCGTAGGCAAGGGAGGAGAAAAAAAAGGTTCAGACGGCAGCCTTTGAGAATTTGCTATATTTCCGGCTTCGTTTCTGATCGACACAGATCATAGTATAAAATAACAGCATAGACAGGTTTTAAGGTCAGTGAGAAAGTCACGTTAAGTAAAATCAGGACTTTATCCAAACTGAACTGTCATAGAAATTTCTTTGGAAGTTATTAAAACTTTGTTCTTTCAGATACATCATCCACTACTGACTTTAATAAAGTATTGACATTATTATTTTTATTTTCATAAAAGAATAAAATGAAAACAAGGGTTAAAAAGCAGATGTCTTATTTGTGCTTCCCTTTAAGTGACACCGATTCAGAGATATTTATATAACTTTATAATGTTTTATAATGAACACAACACAAAACAAAAAAGAATGAATATGGTTGACTCACCTCCATTGTCTAAAGAACGTTTCTGGCCCCCAAAGCCATACAGGGAGGGGTCTATGACTGGACATGAACTATTCATGTTGGGCATCGGGTCTCCTCCCATCTTGGCAGCCATCTGGAGACAACACAGCAGGACAGATGGAAACAGCTGGTTCAGTGATAATATTCTTTGAATGCATGCTTTTTTTTCCTGAGAAACCATTAGACAGCCTTTCATGATAAGAATGGCACTATCCTTTTTCTTACTTGCGTAATGGCGTCAAGTTTTCTGTAAAGTCTGGCCTCGACAAAGCCACCTGCTGTGCACAGAGATATCTTTAAAACATAACTGTGCAGAGTTCAAGCAGCTCAGAATGAACTGTTGTAGGAATTGAAACTTCTCTGCTTGGCGTGTAACGCCTTCACTGACATTTTACTCAGACCACAGGACGTGGTAGCACCATTTTAGTCTAAAGAAAAGCTGCAATGAATTTACATAACCACAAAAATGTAAACATATTTTTAAAATTCAAGAAAACACTCAGTGCCATCAGTAATAGAACTTGTAAACGAGGCAAAAAGACCAAGAAATCACATGTTTACCATTAATATAAACATTGCTTTGGTGATTTGGGTAATGTTCTTATTTTTTAATAATCTAAAGAAATCAAATAATAGCTTCAATATATTCAATAGTTCACACATTTTAATCCATGTGAGACTTGGGCTGGCAAAACATCAGAATGAGCCCAGGCTGCAGTGCAAAACAGAAGCAAATTTGCAGCGATTTATATTTTTGACATTAAACTCCTCATTGTGACTTATTTGGTCAGCACGGATCACATGTGCCAATTAATTATTATTATTATTTTTTATTTAAAAGCAGCAAAAGCTAAGAAAAAGTCTAAACTGAACTGAAACGGTAAGCCTAAACAGTATTTTAAATACAAGCTCAGAGCTATAAAAAGCAACACATCTACAACAAAACTTCGTGTTGACTCAAATGCACAATTACCTTATACTAGTCCAAGGTCCCTTGTGCATATTATCTAGCTCTTTCAAAATGTGTTTACAAAATGCCCACCATTTCCGTTCAAAAATCCTTTACTAAAAACAAACAAAACTTCCAATTTATCATAGTTCAAACCATGTCACGGTAACAGTTTATCCACAATTTAAAGCAAACAAGCTTAATAATGAACTCCTAATGGAAACACTACCACAAAATTAAAGTTTTTTTATGTTTATAAAAAACATCTAAAGAACTATAATTTTGACTTTGCTTGAAACTAGTAATGTTCTGTTTTGAGGCGGAACCTTGTAACACCCATCTGAGTCAAAAAACCTTCACACTTCTAATTACTATGTAATCAGCACCCACATATATATATTTTAACTTAAAAAAAAACTATGCACACTTTTCAATTAACTTTGAACATAGAAGCTAAAAACTACACATCTCCATATTCAATCCTAATTCCAAGCAAGAAAACGGGCAGTTAAAAGTTTAACAAAAGCTTTATTTATGGTGATCAAAGTCAGAGCTTTAATTATAGAGAACCACAGCTCTGCAGACTTTTGAGCAAATAAAACATCTCTGTTCATGTTTTCGTGCAGTGTGGTCTACCTGACACATACAACTACTCTAAAACTGTAGTTATTTGTATTAAAGTGTAGCAGAAAATGTATCTACTTTTAAAAGAAACCACTTGCCAATCTTAAGTAGATTCTCACATTCAGCAAGGACGGACATTTAAATGTTCTGTGTGAGAGCATTTTCTATTCTGCCTTAATCTGTCACCTCTCCTTTCACACAAAAGTATAGCATTTCAGAAAATTACACTAAATTGACGTGCTTGTGTGGATTTTCGTTTGCTTTTTTTTTTTTTACAATATAAAAAGTACGCTCTTGGAAATTAGAGTCTGAGTCTGCCCATCACCTTCAGGGATGATTATCTACTTTAGAAACCCACTGGTGAAAGCAAAGCTGTGATGGAAATAAGGAAGCATAAAAGGAAGCGGGTGTGAGGTTGTTGTAACTAAGTTGTCTCTGCAGACACAAACATCAAGCAAAAGTTAAAGCCCAGTACATTAATACTTGTGTAATATTTATTAGTTTCTTATCAAAAACATGGCATTTTGAACATCCTATTTCAAAGGTGGCAGCACATCAGGTTTTAATTCAGGATGCACGATATTGAATTTTTGGCCGTTATCCGACATGCCAATGTGTGAAAACCTATTTGGTCGATAACCGATACAGATATTTTATAGACTTCCTTTGTCAGAACATAGCCTTCTTATTCATGTTCATTTGCTACAAAAATTGTGCAACAGCTGTAAGAGCTGGTGACATATATTCAGTAACAGCCATATGCATAGCACTTTGACTTATATTAAATGAAAAGTGTTAAATATTATTTATTAGCATTAGTCCCCTGCGATGCTGTCTCACTTGTGGAGGCTTGTTCCAGGTTCCAAGCTGCAGTTTTGGATCCTCTGCACTCCTGTACATGAAGGACAGACTTTTAAGTTCAAAGTTTTTGTCTATTCATTGTGCCGTAAGACTAATCATGCTAATGGGGCTAACACGACATCCAAATGTTGGTGGTAAAACGTACCCAAGTGCTATCGGCTATTAGCTTCTCAATGACATCGGAAATGACGGCTTGTAACTCGGGTAGGGTTACGTCAGAAAAATATCTCCGACTGGGGACGATGTAACGAGGCTCAATATAGTCCAAAAAGTCTTTTTTTTCAGAATCCGATATCCTCAACAACAACCACCCCCCCCCCCCCAAAAAAAACCTTTCACACCGCTGACATTTTGACTTCTTCCATGATCAGATCAGGTAGGAACACGTGACGTCATCATGTTGTGCTGGAGCTGCAGGCATACTTGTCACTGTGTTGTCATATAAAAACAGCGCCTTTTATATCGGAGTTATTTTGATGGAATGGCCGATGTCTGATATTTAACTTTAACGCCAATATCTGCCGATACCGATACCATGCTGATAATATCGTGCATCCTACAGAACATAATATTTCAATCAGGGTTTTGTTCAAAAAGACTATTGCAGCGATATCTTTTGAACAAGTGTGACCAATCAGCGGTCACGTCATGTTTTAGCCAGTAAGTTTTAACTAGGGCCCTAATTCCCTTAATTTTGGAAATTAAGTGACGGTGTCGCTTATAAAACAAAATCGGAATCAGCAGGTCACTTTTTAGAAATCGGTAATCGGACAGAAAACTGCAATCGGTGCACCCCTAGTTTTAACTCAGCCAGAAACTTTGATATCTCAACTTTGAAATTAAAAAAAGTTTTTTTTGTGTGTTAATAATACGGATGAGAAAAACAGATTTTTACAAAATACTGACATACAGTGTGTCTGTCATATGGAACATAGCGGCAACAATTTAAAACTTTTTTAAGTTGTATTTTCAGATTTGCTTCATTTCCAGGGCTGTGCTCCATAAATCCAGCCCCTTTAAAACACATCTCATTTCAGAGAGCAGGAAAATGATGGTTAATGTGCAGATACACACACAGTCGTATTTAATTGCTTCACTGCATAATAATGAGCTGGATCATTTTCGTATGATGACAAATGATTGTATGGAATCAGTAGCTTTAAAAAACCTTCTCAAGACTTGCTACAATGGTGGACTTGCGACTAAGTTCTGAAGGATTTTGTAGTAGTGATACACCAATTCCACATTTTTTAAATTTTCGATCCGATCCCTAAATCTGGATATCGTCCGATACCGATCCAGTTCCGATATCATCATCATTATTATTGATTTAGTGATGCTGTAATAATCTCCTCTCAAGTACAATTTGTACAAATATACGCATGCATGTCCAAAAAGGCAACTTGAGGTAAGTTTTATTATTAATGTTGGATAAGTTTTAAAGTTAGAATTAAATTCTGCAAAAACAAAACAGTTTTTTTTTATTCCTAGCTTTACAGTGGACATTAAAGTGATTAATTTAAGTGATTGTTTGTTATTTTATATTTTTTTAAATAAGGGGCAGATAAGATTTTTTCTGCACTCTTTTCATTCAATGTTTTCTTTTTAATGAATTTATTTGTTTCTTTTAAATGAATGAATAAATGAATTAAATAAAATATTAAATGGCTTTAAACACAAGTTCATGGAATAAACCAACAGGCATGTTCCTGTTTTTAGTATTTTACATCACTTTACAATTTTCTTGTAATTTTCAAATCATATGTTTTTTTACTGTTGTACTGATAAATATCTCCTTGAGGTATATCTTGGCTGCAAGTATCACGCTGTGAAATCCTTCGTTTTCTACAACTGATAGCGGTTGGTCATTAATTATGATGAAGTTTAGCAACTTCTCGGTAAACATTTGAGCTCCGGATCTTCAGCGATGTCTTCTTGTTCAATCAGAAGCAAGCAGCCCGATTTCTGTCAGCCGCGCTCAGTCTGCCCCTCTTCAGAGACGGGCAGATTGGACGAGGCTGGCCGGGGTCGAGTTGCCTGTTGCAGTTTGAGCAAGAGTAGCGCCCAGCTGAAGCCACGGAGCTCGAATGTCCAACGTAAAACTAACTTTACCGCAGTTTAATGTGGTGCTGTTGCTCTGCAGACATTGCACATTGCTGTCTTGCTTTGTGGTGTTTCTAGTGTAAAATACTTCCACACAGCGGACATGTTTCGATGAAAAGTTAGTTAGCGGTTAGCCACGGTGCTGCTCACTCAGTCCTCATGTTGTAGCTGATTAGATTATTTATATCTGGTTTTAGACTATCAGCACAATTTAAAAACTGATGTGTAGTTTAAAGTCTGTACTTTGACAAAATAGTCTCCGAGAGGCCGCGTTTCCCGCTAGAGTGACTGAAATCGGTCATGTGACTATTACATGACGGTGCGTCAATTGACTCTAAAGGGAAAAATTGTCCGTCAAAGTAGGTGGTGCAAAACACTTGAGTAGGTGGTGAAATTGCCGTCCACCGTCTCTTATTGAGAAGACAAAAAAACACCAAGATCTATGACTATCCACACTAAAAATGAAGGGAATAGAAAGATTCAGTCACTGATATAGTACAATAAAATAACTTTGTTGTTATTGTGAAAGAGCTGGTGGTTAAATTTAATGCCAATTTTTAGAGTGGTGGTGGGGTGTCAAGGTAGTCCCATGAAGGTACATAAACTACCTTCTCAGTAACAGGCAGTGGAAGGAGATTTTGCCGCCTACTCAAGTGTTTGGCACCGCCTACTCTGACAATACATTCTCCCCATTGGAAACAAAATCGACACGCCGGCAAAAAGACGCAGAAGGTGAATGCAGTTCAGTGCGATTAAGACACAGCGAGAGCGAGAATTAGTCATGAGGTTTGAAAGATTTGTGATATTTAGTGTGTTTGGCTTTATAGTTACGGTGAAGTTTGGTGTGTTTAGTTTAGTCAATTTTCGTGTGTACGAGTCAAAACAAAGACGATTTTTGAATGTGAGGAGGAGTTGCAGACCTAGAGGAGGGGGGAAACCACCGAATCAGAACCTCTTAGGCCCCATTTACACGGACACGATGGGGGGAAACATAGGTTTTTTTGTATGTTAATTAGAGGAAAAGATTTGCGTTGACACGGTCACATTTTGGGTTTACATGCATCCAGAGGATTCCCCCCCCCCCCCCCGCCCTCCCGAAGCCGCTGTAGTTACCATGCCGGGTCATTAGATGGCGCTGTGAATGCGCATGCGTGCTGCCTCGGCACGTTGTTTTCCTCTGGGCTAATCAGCTAACAACAACGTAACGACAAGTTAAAGGTGGATTTTGGATGAGAGTCGACAGATTTGACGCCAAGCGGGACCACTTCGTCTAACAGCTCCACACTGGTCACCAAGTGGACCAGAACTGAGTCGACTATGTCGGACTTTAGTCCGTGATCATCAGTAGCCGTTAACTATTATTAATGGTTGGCGGACGCACGCGGCTGAGTAAAGGGGGCAGAAGATTGGAGCTGAGGAGCCCTCAAAGCACATTAAATGCTTCCCCTGCTTCTGCCTGCATTGGACCCTGTTCTGACATGTCTGCTATTTTGTGATCTCACCTGTTTGGGTAGTTGGCCGCACACGTCCGCTGAGTGCTGTGGCTGAATGAACGTCCATTTGGGCTGATGGATCGCTGGCAGTAGTCCATCTGAAGCTTACTCAAAATTTTTAAATCTTTCAACCGGCCGATCAGCGCGCGGTCAAATGGCAGCGTGCGACTGGTGATTGTATGGCAAGCCATGTTGGCATATATTTGGATTGTCGGCCGTGCGCATCCCTGATGCAATAAAAAGCTAGACACCGACCTGGCCCAACATTACCAGTATTATGGCCGGGCCTGGTCCGAATCCGGGTCGGGCTCCGGGTTAGAAATGACAGCTCTACGAGACAGCTATAAAAGACTGACTAGTTTTTTGAGGAAAAATATTTACAAGTATTTTTAAACAGTTTAATAAGGTAGTTGATTTCCCACTGAGGAACATGAATAGTCATAAAGTTAAAGGGTTAAAACTAGGAATGGACAATAATTCAACATCAATAAATATCACGATATACTTTTATTCAATAACGGTGATATGAGTTTTAAGCATATTTCCGATATACAATACACGCTATGATTACGCGTTTCACTGACTGACATTCACGACAAAGCCAATTCGAGCTAAACAGAAAAAGCCGCAACACATTGGCTACGCGAGTGATGACGTACACCACAGACATGGAGCTTGAGCCCAGAAGCAGTAGGCTAGGCTAGGCTAAACTCCAACAAGGTAAGTTTTAGATACAAAATGAGTGCCCATGACCGTAATGCAAATGTGAATGAACAAGCTTTTACAAGCGAAGAGACAACAGACAACATAGTTGATAGGAGAGGAAAGACTAATTTGGAAGTGTGGACGTGGTTCGGCTATCTAAGATCTGATAAACTTCAGGTTTCAGTGTGCTGCAAAATGTGCCAAAGTCTCGTGCCAACTAGCAGTGGGAACACATCGAACCTGTTCCACCATCTGAAGAGTTTCCACTCGATAGAATAAGCTGAGAGTCGGAAGACGAAGCACCATAAAAGTTTAAGCCAACGTGTCCCTGAAGCATCACTCCCAGCCCCAGCTGTGTCAAAAGAGAATCCATGCAGCAAACACAGATCACTGTATTTATGCTTTATGACGAGAACTCCACACACTATAAAGATGTAACTAAGGTTGTTACAAATTTCTTGACTAAAGACGTGATGCCATTTACTACGGTGGAAAACAAGGGTTTCAGAAAAATGATGTCAGTCATTGACCACAGATACCAGCTCCCTGGCCGGGAATATTTTTCATGCACAGCCATACCTGCACTTTATGGTAAGTCTATGTTGTTTAAAGTTAAAGCTATTAATATTGACAAAGTTGAGAGTTTTATGTTTATTTGACAGCGATTTCAATTTTCTTTGAAGGCTAAATACAAATAAAAAGGTGAACATTAACTTATTTGTACAGTTTGTATTTTTAAAATGTTGTACTGGAGGAGTTTCATAGACTTGGCAAAATAATTTTTAGTTTTACAAGCATCTGTTGTGGGCATTCTTGGCAGTTTTTCTGAGGCTTTTATATTGTTTATATCTATATCGGAATTATATTGTATTGACTGAAATTAAGAAATACACTGTGATACAAGTTTTGGCCATATCGTCCAGCCCTAGTTAAAACCATCATATCGAAATGTTCACATTATGATGCTTTTAATGTCGATCAGATTTCATGATCTTGTCTGTAGTTATAGAAAACAAAGTAAGTTTTTGAGCTGAATGCATTCAGCTGGGACTGCTGCAAGATAAATATATTCATTGTGAAATATTTCTTTATTAGATTCTTGAAAAAGTATGTTACCTCGCTCTACAAAATTGATTGACAGCTGCTGCCGCTGACTTCATAACTTTTTCCATGCCTGTGATGCTAATAAGAGATTTTCATTCATCAGTGTTTAGTCTGTGTTCAACATTTTCACTGCACAGAACAGCTACACGTTTATGTTGGGAAATAACTCCAGCCTCCTACTCAAAAAGTTACTGAGAAGGCTGCATAGAGCATAATTTAATTGTTTTTTTTAAAGTGTAGATGCTGTTGTCTGATAAAAAAAAAGTCAATTTGTCACTCTGTTAGTGTGAAAGTGATGTACAGAGAAAAAAAAAGGTTCGAAAACATTTGAAGCCTGTAGATGTTGTTGCTAACATGCAATAAAGTGAGATGGGTTTGAGAAACCTGCAATGACTGCCTATTTAGGGAGAAAGTTTGCACATGTTAAAACATTCGACGACAAGTTTGCACATATGACTCACAAGGAAATTGTGAACCCCCACAAGCAGTTCAAAACATTTCAGAAGGTCTCTTGTGAAATAAATAAATAAACAAATACATATATGTTATTTGCTTAATGGATTTTAATTATGCATTTATACGCGTGCACCAACAAAAACTTTAATTTAGTGGTTTTGCAAAATAGTAATGCAAAATTTCAGATACACAAATCAGAGGTAATAACCTCTCGGGTGCATTTTATCAATGTGGTGGTGCACGACTAAAGTCCAGTTTATATACTATTAACGGTTGTGACTGCATTTCTAATCAACTACAATTTAATCAACTTAATAGGAATTATCTCTACAAAAGGTCACAGTGTGGCATAACGCATTACCTACAATAATGGAGGGTTTAAAAAGCAGTCTGAAAGCTTTGATCCTTCTGGCATTTTAAAAGTTGTAATGGAAAAGTCCATCGTATCAGGAGGGGGTATTTCAACAGATGACGTTACATTGCATGGCCTCGGTGCTGCCAGAACATGCTATCAGCTAGCTAACTCACTAGTTTGTAGCATGAAAAGTAACACACGATACATCTGTATTACACAAGCTTAATAGGTGAAAGGAGTCAAGTGTACACGTCAGTACTGCCTCGTTAGGCTGTAAAGAAGCCTGAATAACTGGGGCAACAACTGGTTACAATAATACTAACTCAGAACCTGAAACTAACATATGTTCAGGCTTCAAGTCTCGACTAAAATGTTGTTTTATGACGCTGTCAGTCAGGCTGCAACTTGAATCCTCGTTAGCAAGCTAAGCTAACTACAACTTCTGTGAGTTGACAACAGGTTGCAACGTTTCGACTCAACTTTTTCCAAAGTGGCACAAACTTCGACACCACAGCAGGCCTTCGCTTCGTTCGCCACATGTAACTTTGTGTGTTCGTTCGGACCGCTCTGAGGCCCAGTTAGCGCGTCTTCCGTCCTCCGTAAACTTTAATCTGTCCGCTCAGGCTATGTGTGTCGTCTCGGCTGCTTAGTGTTAGCCTGTTAGCTTACACGGTACATGAGGAGTGTTTATACTCCGGGGTGTACCGACCCAAATCCTGGCCCTGGTTCGCACGCTTAACGACGACGCTTCGTGGTCCGGTTAGCATGGCGCTCGTGTTTCCCGGAAGACGTTTTACCTGTCGGACCCGGCGTATCGTGTCTGCGAAGTCATCTTTCGTTCCTGGCTGAGCCACCGAGGCCTGTCCCTGAATCAGCTCCGCCATCATCATCATCATCCGCCTCGGCAGCTGAGAGCCACACTTAAAAAAAAAAAAAAAAAAAAAGATCAGCACACGTGCCAGGCTAAAACTCCGCGAGCCTAATGGTCTCGCGAGTTGAACCTAGAGCGGAAGTTCGGTCACATGCTAACAAATCACATGTTTATTAATTGTAGGTTTTACTCGACGAGAGGCAGAGGTCAGGTAATTAAAAAGACTGTTTCTAATTAAACAGCATGGTGAAAAGGTTTTACTCCACCCCTAATTATGTGAAAACTCCTACTTGTTTTATTGCAACATCTAGTCTGGACCAGGACAAGAGACTGATGATCTCAATGGATTTCTTCCTGGTAAAATAAAGTAATAAAAAAAATGTTCAGCTCATTCAGGAGATGTGCGTTGTGACTTTTGACATTTGTGACTTTTATACTTTTCAAAATATTTAACTTTATTAACAAATATTTTTCTCATAGAAATCCATTGATTGAGATCTATTCAATTCCTTCAAAACATTGTTCTTGGAAATCTGCTTGAGCTAATTTGCTCCTTTTTTAAATTTAGCATCCATCCTGCTACTTTCAGCTTTAAGCTAGGCTTTTGATTCTTGTAAGTTTTTAGCTAAACTTTTGGCACTTTTAGCATTCAATTGTTTGTCATTGATAAAACAACATAATGTTGGAGCATTCACAGCATTTACATATATGGACAAGCCTTTTGATAATTTTAGTCAGAGTTTTAATACTTTCAGCTTTTAGCTAGCCATTTGATACTTTTTTATTTTAGCTAACCTTTTGGTACTTTATGCTTCTTGTTCGTCTTTTGATACTTTTAGCTTCTAGTTAACCTTTTGATACTTTTAATTTTTAACAGGCTTTTTGCAACATTTAATTTTAGCTACACCTCCAGATGCAAGAAGATGGCCACCTGCATCATGAAGGACCCCACTCACCCAGCATACACTCTTTTTGCCCTGCTCCTCTCAGACAGGAGGTTGAGGAGCATTAAGTGTAGAACCACTAGACTGAGGAACAGCTTAGCTGTTAGACTCATGAATCCCTAACCAGACAGATCACTGTAATGCCACTTTAATTGTACATTTGACACTTTATCTGTGCTTCTGATTATCCATGCTGCTGATTTCTTTCCCATAAGCTGCTATGTTCATACCCATCTGCTCACAACAGACTCATGTTCAGGCTGTTGTTGAATACACTTTAATATATTTTATCATTGTTTAGCGTATATCTTAGTTCCTTATATACTGTTTCTTCTTTTTTATAATATACTTTATATTATTGCTGTTTTTGGGTGTAACTGGGACCTTGAGTACACAATTCCGTTCCACCTCATGTACCACATGTGATGCGAATGACAATAAAGTCACTTTGAACCTTGGTTCTTTTAGCATTTAGCAAGTGCACGTCTCCTGTTAGCGTTAACTAATTTTATACTTATTTTGCTAATTTCAACAGCCATTCAGCACTCGGTATTAACACTGCATTTTCACAGAAAATGAAACTAATTTTCTTATACATTGCTTCCATGTAGTCAGATTTTATTATCTTTTAAATGTTTTTGATCAATAGGGCTGCAGGCCTTTGGATAGTTTACAAACTTTGTTGTTTGGACATTGGTTGCTTTTTCACATATTTTTTGTCCATCCCTTGTATTCATCATTATGTGCTTTTAAATGAAGAAAGTAGACACGATGAGGACAAACAAAGATGTGTCAGGCTTTTAAAAGCAATCTACAGCAGGTGAACACATCCAGAACAGAAGAAACGAATCAAAATCAAAAATCCAGATTTAAATACAATGCAGCTATTTAATTCTAATTATAGTACAAAACATTTGCTTACAGTACATTAAGAAACAACAGTTAAACAGTAAAGCAAAGCTAGCAGATTTAGTCAGATCTTCATTTCATTGCAGTCCTCCATCCTGAGCAGCACGTTGGTGACAGTGGAAAGGAACAACCTCCTTTTGAGGTGGGTGAATGTGAAAGCACTGATTATTCTTTGTGCAGATAACCTATGTGCTGTATGAATGGGTAAATGAGGGCACAGATTGTAGTGTAAAGCACTTAGAGTATCTTGATAAGATAGAAAGGTGCTATATAAGTACAGTCTATTTTACAGAAAGAAACCTCCAGCAGGAACATGCTCAGGATGAGCGATCATTTTTACACAAAAACAGAATTATTGGTCCATATGTCATTTCTATGGAGAAAAAAAACAGCACAGTATTTTCACATAAATTTAGAATATATACAGTATGTGTGCGTCTTCTTAATAATAGTTAACTTGGTCACACAATTAACAAATCTGTTTTTTTTTGTTTTTTTTTCATTTGCACCTGGAGCATGGTTAAGTTGGCTATAGTATTCCCAGAATAAAGTTCCAACATTGTATCAGTGGTTCTCCTTCTTGCAGCACATGTGGAAACATCTATTGTTTCACATCTGGAAAAGGCCAACAACCAGACAGTAGAAAGTAAAATTGCTTCAAAATTCCAAACTTTTTATGCAAAACAGTCATATCCCAGAAACTGTATCCGAACCATGGTGAGGAAAGTCAACCAATGAGGGCCAACTGTGTGGTCTGAAAAAAAAAAAAGACACAAATCACCTATTTAAATATTTGCTTTTTAATCAATGTGCAATTGTGTCCACTATTTAAAGCACTGACCTGTGAGCTCTTTAACGCTTATATATAAAATTCTCACACGGCTTCTGGTTCACCAAACTCAAATTTGAGAAAACTAGATTGACATTATGTGTCTTCCAGACATTAGTGTGTGTGTGTATCACTTTATTTTCCACTTCAGCCCCTGGGCATGTTATCACTTCCAAAGAAGAAGTGGAGAAATTATGTGGCAGCTGAGAGCTTTTCCCAGACTTGCACCCCTGAATGAAGACCTCCAATTTCACATGACTGAAGTCTGATCTGGCCTGCTAACATATTGCAGCCATGTGCTGTGCTCTCAAAGCCCAGAGGAAGCTGACATGATTTTAGTTGTCTGATATCAAAGAGGGAATCAGACAGTGGCTGTCATGTGCAGCTATAGGATGCATACAACTGACACAATCAGACACTTGCAAACAATTATAATAAATTAAGCCGTCATCAACATAGTCTAAAATGTGAGGGGAAGTGTGGGTCTCTGGAGAACTGCCTATCAAGCAGTTGGAAGTGTTGACCTGAAGGATGTTTGTGTGCAATGCTGTGGTTATCGTAACACACTGATCAAGTGTCTCAAACACATCTTCCTCCTTGTTTTTGTGTAGAAGAAAATAAATGCCTTTTCTTGTGATTCCATGTATTAAACTTCAATAAACTCATCCATCCATCCATTATAGCAGATAAATCCAATTTTCTGTGAAAATGCAGCATGAGTGCTGAGTTACTTGTGAAATCTGCTAAAGAATATTAAAAAGGAATTGTTAAAGCTAAAATATGCAAAACACTAGAGAAAAGTAAACATTTGCAAGAATAACAAAACACACTAAAAGCTATAACTAGTAAATCCCTTGTTAAAGTAGCAAAACACTAACTAAAACCTAAAATTGCAAAACATTTGCTAAAGTAGCAAAAAACTAGCTAAAATCTGAAATTTTGAGAGATTTGCAGAGAGTGGTGAAGGCTGCACAGAAATCTGTTGGAATCAGTCTCCCCACCATCACAGACATCTACACCTCCAGATGCAGGAAGAGGGCCACCTGCATCATGAAGGACCCCACCCACCCAGCACACACACTTTTTGCCCCACTCCCCTCAGGAAGGAGGTTAAGGAGCATTAAGTGTAGAACCACTAGACTGAGGAACAGCTTCTACCCTGAGGCTGTTAGACTCATGAATCTCTAACTAGAATAATCACTGTGAAAAACCATATCATGTTGCTGCTGATCTGTTTCATGTTGCTG